GGATTTACGGTTTCGTTTGTTTTTTCCTTTTTTTGTACAAAGAGCTCCTCGAACTTTACTCTCTCACTCTCTCTCTTTCTTTCTCTCTCTTCATTCGGTTCTCGTTTGTCGCGTGACTCGTATGCACCAGAGAAGAGACACGACTGACACGCGACCTGGCGCTCGCAACACGAACGATGGAACGATTGTTTCTATCGAAGAAGAATTCGCAACAGAATTTCGCGAATTGCGTGCCCTGCACGCTGCGACGCGACAATTCCGGAAGCCTGAAAATCCTCGATGGTGGACGACAAGAAAGCCCGCGAATTTTTATGCAATTTCAAGCTCTCGACAAGAAGACGCTCTGTCGAACAATTTTGCAGCTCTGAACTTTCTACAATAAAATATAATCGATGCAAACCTTTCTTTCCCTTTCGAAACTGACTGAAAGAAATTAATCGAAGTTTCTTGTCGACGATCGATCGAAACGTTTCAGTAGGATCGCGTCGCAGCGTGCAGGATATTTCGCTCGATGATTGCCCCGCAGGATCCCGAGTCCAGGACTCGAGAATCTTTGCCCTCTATAACACGTGGGACGAACGAGGCGAGTCTTCCGGATGGGCTGTCGGGTGAAACGAGACCCAACCAACCCAGCGAGCACCTCGAACACTGGGAACAGAAATCCAGTCGTTCCACCGTTCGTCGCAGATCGGTCGCGATTAATCGACCCTCGAACGTCGCACGCGGTTCGAATTTTCCCTCGCGTTACAGACGCTTTTCGTCTACGAACGGATACTTCGTTTATGACGAGGGGTGATTTGGGGCGGTGAAGGAGAACGGAGGGAACGACGAAGGGTTTCGGGACAAGGGGAACGCGCGTGGATAAACGGAAACGGGAGCTAAGGGAAGGAACCGTTAATCGCAATAATTATAATAGTTAGAATAATAATAATGTATGATGACAATAATAATAATAAAAGAAAGAAAACGAAAACAGAAATCGTAGTGTTAATAATAATAATATTAATATAATTAATGATAATCGTAGGTTTTAGGGTCACTGCAGTAAAAAATAAACGTAATAGTAAATTATTATAGACGTTTTCTCACGGGTCACGCGTACACACAACACGTTCGATTATTAATTTCTCGCGGGTGGGGATGGGGGATGATCTTTTCTCGCGTGACCAAGAGACAGGATTTTTTTTTATGTACAAAAGAGGTAGGGGAGGAATACGGCGGGGGACGATCAACGACCAATCTACAAGCTTTTTTTCTTTCCCACTCTTGCATACGAATACACATACACACACACACACATACACACACAGTTTTTTCTTTCTCCCAGGGTACTCACTAAGAAAGGGGTTTTTTTTCTCGTCTACACACACGGTTCGTTGGAACCAGCTTCCGGGGTTACGATATCCGCAAATAAATACTGTTGCTGTTTTTCGATTCTTTCTCTCGTTCCTGTCTTTCTTTTATTTTTTTTTCGTATCACCTTTCAATCGATACACAACCGTGGTTTGTTCGTTATTCTCCAGGGGCGTCTGTCCTATAATTCGTCTCCGGACGCGTCTTTCCGTTACACACACACACACACACACACACTCACTCACTCTCCCACACACACTTTCTCTCGTTAACGTTTATTTGTTATTCCGTTATTCGTTCGCTAATTGGAATGATATCACGGGGGCCAGTGTCGCGCGACGACACAGACGCGCCGCGATTGGACACCGACGGACGTCGAACGAGACGTCGATTCTAACCGTTAGAGAGAACAAAAAGGGAATATTGCTAACCGCGGAAAATATAATACACGTGTCTCTTTTTTGTTTTATACGTTTCCATATGTATATATATATATCATATCATATATATATACGGTGTAATATGTATATAAATATATATGTATATATATATACAATCACGCGAAGCCGCGATATAGATCTAGCCATCTCTCGGATCATTCGAATTCTATATCTCTACCATTCGATTCCATCCCCCTAGTTTTTTTTTCCCTATTCGTTCGCACTTACTGTCGACCTTCCTCTCTAAACATCCCTCAACGGCTATACCCTGGATATTTCATTCTTACACGCGTGCTACGTCGTGCAGCGTTCGTTTATCACAGTAAGGTTTTATCGTTTCGCGTTCTCTCATCTCGTCTCCTTTTCTACCATTCTATCCCCCTTTTACTCTATTCCCCTTCCACCGCGCGCGGAGAAAACGTTTGCCTGTTAAATACTCGTCGAGAAATGTCACCGTTCGATTGTTCGATCGAACCCAGTGTTCATCGATCTCTCAACACACAAACACGCCGAGGCTGTTTCGCGACGAGATAACACACACATACACCATCAGTTGAACACGGATGATCGTCGATTGGATCATCCTAGCGATGGATTCACGCGAGAACACACGTTTTTTGTTTTCTTCACGCGCCGACACACGTCGACGGGGAATAAGGGAACGATCTCCAACGAGAGACGAGGGGTCGAAGAACGTGGGGACCACGAGTAGCGTCGATTTGTCGCAAGCCTGGGGAACGACCGGAAGTACTTTGCACGGCCGCTCGCCGAGGATGCTAAATCTGGGAACCGTTTTTCAGTATATATATATATCCAGTTTTCTTCGGATCCTTGCTGGGCGTTCTACGACCACGTATGCATGCAAAATGGCGTCGAGTCCTTGACGAGACCATCTCTTTCTCTCTCTGTCTATTTTTCCCTCCTTCCGTCCGTGAAATTTCCTCCCTAGACTGCGAGAAACCGTTCGCGGTCCGCGCCTCGGCCCCCACGGTCTCCGAGTTCGCTCGGTTTCGCAAGAAGCTTTTTGCCTGCAGTTCTATCTTTTCTCCGTCACATTCGTTTTTTTTTTTTTTTTTCATTCTTAAGAGAGTCCTCCCACGCGTACAGCACGTCCGTCCAAGCTTGTCACTCTAAGCTATCCTACGAGGTTATGGTTTTTTCGTTAGGTTCTGTCAAGGGGCTAGATTTCAGGGTTGTTTGTGATTTTGATATTCGTAAAATCTCTCGATCGCGTTCGATATACAGGTTGTCTCAGGTTGGGCAATACAACCGGGGCAGAAGGTTATTCTACATGGAAAAACAAATGAAAAATATAGAATGAAACTTTCTCCTATGATGCTTCGTTTCCGAGATAATCGAATTTGAAACGTCCGATGGATACGTGTGCAATTGGCGAACATGTCTGTTCATCGCATACTGTTTCTACTTATTATACTCGGTGAAACTTCTAAGTAGTTTTTCTCGAATATAAAGCCTCGTATGAAAAAAATTTCTTCTTCTTTTTCGACTTATTTTTTCTAAATAGAATCATCTTCTGCCCGGTTGTAGTACGCGACCTGAGACATCACGTACAGGACGAGTCGAGGAAGGAAAGCTAATCGACGTGGTTCAAGTTTCGTTGTCCTCCCGCGAGATCCTCAACTCCAATCGCGACGGGTACAAGCGGAATCGAAAGAACACAGGGGAAACTACGAGAAGATCGTGCACGGAGGTAAAACGAAAAATGGTCGACCACAGCTTTTCCCTTGACTCGACCTATAAACTCGAAGACATGTTCAAACTCAAAATTCATCTCCGGTTCCACCTGAATCGTTTGTACACATTAATTTTGAGTTTAAACCGCTCGAAATTCCCTACGTTCTGGACCCTGAGAGCAGATCGCTCGCGCGCGGACACACCAATTAGAGACCGGAAACGAAAGCCTGAAAAAGAGGAAAGACAGAGATCGAGAAAGAAAACCGGAACGAAAAAAGACAAGAGAAAAATGTATTCGTTCGATGGGCAGAGAAAGGGAGGCAATGAGCGTCGAGGAAAGAGAAAAGAGATACACAGAGAGCACGAGGAGCAAACAAAGCTGTCGCGTTTGCATCGTGCTTACCACGTTGAACTCGGAGGTGTTTTCTGTTTGTCCACCGATGGTGTCGGTCGACCGTCGTCGGAGGGTTATTCGTCGTAAATCTTATCCGAGTATCCGACTCGCGTTCTCACGTCGAATTAAATATTTTTAATGTTTGTACATCTAAACTGAAAATCGAGGATGTTCGATCGTGTCCAACCAATCCGAGGCAGAGAAAACACGAGGAAGAACGGCGACACGCCCTTCTTTTTCAAGAAAATAATTCTAATTTTTTTCAATACTAGAAAGTGAGCTGATTACTCGGAGAAAATGGAACAGCCACGAGTTCCAAGCTGCTGTGACGATCGATGGAGATCAAGGATCGAAGGGGCTAGGTGTCTAGAACCGTTCCACGATGACTAACTGGGCTCATGCGTTTCGCCTGATCGACTCTTTACCCAGAGGGGTGGATGTACCTCGCATTATCTAATTACGTAACAATCTGCTCAACGTTACTTCGCCACTAGTGCAAGCTACGACAGGGGTATAAGGGTGTCGGATATGTCGGTGCTAATTGTTCACGTACTCGGGATTAATCGTGTATAGGGTCCAGAAGTAGAAATGTCGTCGCGATTAGTGTTAGTATGCAAGTGCGCGGGCATACGCGAGGTTAAATAGAAAAAAAAATCAAGCGTAAATGAGTATCATTTTGGGATTCGGGAGGATTAACTTCTCGCTTCCGAATCGCCTCGCGACCAGGTGTGTGCACGCTCGAGTTGTATTTATCTATCAACTTCCCGTAATCTATCGATTGCGTCAAGCTCGACGGTGCACACGTAAGCTACTTCGCAGACGAGAAGGATAAACCGCGGCTATCTAGCAACAAACTACAGCCAATAATTTACAAGAACAGCAAAAATCACAAGGACGGATATGTCGTATCACCGAGGTTTATCCTAACTCTAGGAAGTAAAGCCAAGGGGATGAAGGGCCGTACGATCGAGCCTTGCCCGACGACCACAATCCTCGAAAAAAAAAAAAAAAAAAAAAAAAAAAAATTCGTTTCTCCATCGAGCAAGCTACGATCGTTTTCTTACGTATTCTACGCCCGGTAATCGGGCAAAGAAAGTGCATGAAAAAAATCAGCTTACATATGAGTTAGAGGCGGAATGGCGGAGTGATGCTGCGCGAGCGGATCGGGCGATGGTCCAGGCGAGTAGACACCGGCACCGTGTTGCACGACCCCCTGATCGACACCCTGCGGTAGATACATCGATATCATCTGTCTCAGATCACCCTGGGACTGCTGCGTCTGTTGCTGGCCCATGTATTCCCGTTTCACGACCTGTCCACCGGCGGTGGCCGTCGACGATGCACCGGTCGGCGTCGGCGTGTGAATACCGCCGCTCGCTGGACTCGTCGGCTCCGATTTTATGCTGCTACCGCTGGGACTGTGACTGGACATCTGAGAGCCTGGTTGAGCTTGGTGATAGGGAGACGGTGATCCACCAGGAACGGTTGTGCTACCGTAACCACCGTAACCGTTCATGTAGCTGTTTATGGGGCTCGGACTGCCGCCTCCCATGTGGTGTCCCATGTCGTACCTTGGATAACCAGCGGCTGAGGCAGCGGCAGCCGCAGCCGCGCCACCCATGTGACCACCGTAAGCGACGTGTTGCTGATACGCGGCCGTCGGGTCGTGCATCATGTAACCATTCGGCATGTAACCGTTCGGCATCTGGTAAACGTCCCGCGACAATTGCGCCTGTTGCGGTCCCCCAGTAGCCCCGACTTGTCTCTGATCAACGCCCAACATACTACCAACGCCCGCTACACCACCACCCAACGGGAACTTGTCCTTCTTCAACAAGGTTTTTGTCTTGCGTCGCGGCCTGTACTTGTAATCCGGATGTTCCTTCATATGTACCGCACGTAATCGTTTCGCCTCGTCGATGAACGGCCGTTTCTCCGTCTCGCTTAGCAACTTCCATTCGGCGCCCAAACGTTTCGAGATCTCGGAATTGTGCATCTTCGGGTTCTCCTGCGCCATCTTGCGACGTTGACCACGCGACCAAACCATGAACGCGTTCATCGGCCTTTTCACACGGTCGATGTTGTTGTTCTTGCTGGTGTTGTTGTTGTTGTTCGGCGGTTGATGATGCTGCTGCTGGGCCTGTTGTTGTTGCTGTTGCTGCTGATGGGAATGATGCTGTTGCTGTTGGCTGGCAGCTTGTTGCGCCAACGAGTGCATACTTTGCTGTTGTTGCTGTTGTTGTTGTTGTTGCTGTTGCTGCTGCTGCTGTTGTTGGGCGGCCTGCATCGACGCGTAGTGATGCTGGGACGTTTGATGATGATGCTGGAGACCGAGACCCAGGCCACCTGTGCTCGGTGGACTTCCAGATAGAGCTGGACTGTGCACTATCGAGCCGAGGCTACCATAGGGTGAGACTCCCGTATGGTGACCCATAGGAGAGACACCCTGATGTGGGTGCGGTGGCATCTGACCGTGCAGGCTGCCGCCCTTCAGGTCCGTCTCCATCGTGAGCATGTCTTCCTCCCTGTGGCCGTACAGCTTGCCGCCCTTTCCTGGTACCTCGCGACGTCAAGAAATTCGACGAAACACGCCGAGTGTACCGCACGGTCCGAACGTTTCTCCACGTACGGGTCCTCGGTTGGACGTGTCGCTTTACGGTGCTCCACCGTGTTCACTGGTGAACCGGCGACACACACTACGCGACAACGAGTCTAATCGTTTCTCTCCTGTAGTGTAACATGGAAACCGGTGATCGTTTCCTCGAACATATGTATAAAGAATCTCCTCTTTCGATTGTTTAACTACGTGTATATTCGCACCACTTGTTGGAATTTCTCTTCGACACACCACCGATATACACACTGTCTCACACGATCTATGGTGAACTGTCCTCTATTCCCCTTGTTCTTCCTTTACTAGGAAAATATACAAGTCACCGTATAATCCAAGAATACCGAATGTCACCAAAAGTATGTCAATTAATTCGTCAAGTCAATCGAGCACACCGCGCGCACTGTACGATCGTACGATCCACGGCATTACCGATGCTCGATCCGGTAAATTCTGTCCTTCGAAACACGAGCCTCTGCCGCGAATTGTGTATATACACAGCGATGTTTGGTAATCACGAAAAGTCACCGTGGGTACCCCCCTCGGGTTTCGCTGGTCACCGTACACACTCGCCGTTCTTCATAATATCAACACCAGAGAGCTTTGCCTCCCCTTTGGCGGTCTCTCTACGGGGACAAACTGTCGGGCGCAACGGTCCGTTTGATCCACACGCCAGAGTCCCGCACGAGAACTGACGACGCACTGTCACTTTCTTCCCTTAGCACGCCGCTCTTGCTCTCCCTCTCTTTCTCTCTCTCTCTCTTTCGTTCGCGTAGCACACCCCGTCTCTCTGTTCCAAGGCTCGTAATACGGCTCGCTCGTGACTGGCTGCAGGCTCGCGATACCCTCGACGAATCGGATCGCGCGACGGATTCCAACGGACACACGAAGATCCTCGCGATTTTCCGCCTCGAGACCTCAAGAAAAACTCTGTACACCCACACGATAAATGTTCATGTATACATATATATATATATATATATATATATATATATCACTGAATGTAACGTGAACCGATCGACGGATGGTAACCAACTCGTCACTCTGTCCCCACGATACTGTCGATTATTATTATTATTATTCCTCGGTCCCACACTACTCTCGTTGGTAAAAACACGCGTGGTTCCCTCTCGTGCGATGCGCGTTGTGTATCTCTGCTGTGTGTGTGTATGTTGTCACGCGCACGTTCCTTTCATTCGACCAGGCACTGCCCCCGACTCGTGTGTACACGCCGGCGAACGGTGCACGGTGGACGTGAACAAGACGAAGAATAAGAAGAAGAAGTGGAACACAAGTAGCAGCGACCTCCACTCTCTACGGAAGAACGGAACCGTCTGAGCATTTGTGGATTTCGCCTTGGGGTCCCACTCTCTCGGGGCTCACTTCCTGCCGAGTCGGCTGTCCCCCTCTCTCTGTGTTTCGCTCGCTCGGCGCGCTTCGCCGCCCGCCCCCTCCATAACTATACGCCGAGCGATCCTTACCTACCAACGACCATACCTAACCGGCCAACAGACCAGCGACGAGCCTACCAACGGCAATCGATTGGCACGCAAGCCTGCCATCATTTCTCTCGACCAATCGCCGGGCTCTCCGCGCCACCGAAGGCGGCGCCATTACGCCGTGACGTCATCCTCGCAACAACCCCGACGACCTCTCGCGGCGACGCTTTCACCCCTCTTCCACCCCATATTCCAAGCTTCTCCCTTCAACCACGAGCAGTATCTCGTTCTGTCTCTGTTTCTCAGGTTCGTCTGGTTCTGTCTCTGTTTCTCAGGTTCGTCTCGTTCCGTCTCTGTTTCTCAGGTTCGTCTCGTTCTCCCCACGGTTTCGCTTCCACTCTGCCTCGTGTGTACGCGCGCGTTCCTCTCTCGCTGCGATGCTCTCTCCTCTCCTGGGGTCGCCAGTGTTTCGTCCACGCGTTCATCTATTCCATGAACACTCTCACCCCTCGCCGAGCCCCTTCGAACTTCGCGGAACCGCTGGACCAGGGTCTTCTCCGCGAATCATCTCCCTCGAAGTCATCTTGTGTGTATCCTGTACTCTCCGTTCTCTTACATTCGTGTTCTATCCTTTTTCCACCCCCATCACCCACTTCTAACCACCCCTTCAGATACATCAACCGTCTCCGTTCAACCACAATCGTGTTGCGAGATTCCTCCTTTCGCCCGAGTCCGGTGACCTTCGAATCTTTCGCGGAACAACGTCCCATCGGGGGTGGGGGGATGAACAACGAGTTCGAGTTGTTGCAGGGCTTTCACGGGGTGAGTGAAGTATCGAAAGTTTTCGGGAAGTTGTCGAAGGGGGTTGCACGATCGAATTCGTATGTAGAGACACCAGGATTGATTCTATGGGTATCGATCTCTGTTCGGGGGCTGTTTAAACGAAAGCGCGGTAAAGGGGTAAACAGGCGTTGCAAATGTTTGCGATCAAACGTACGTACCGGGGCGTTATATCGAGCAAACAATGGAGAGCCACTCGATACTCCACATCGGGAGCGCAACACGCGGGAGTTCATTCTAACTACGCAGGCATTTTATATCTTATCGCCTTTCTCTCGTGTATCGCGCGCTTTCTTTTTAGATTGCGATTCTTTTCTTTTTCTCTCCTCGACGTGGGAAAGCCTCGACGTTTCATCCTGGAGCACGTGGGTAGATGAGTAATTGAATTTGTCCTTACGAATATTAACTTCACTCTTTGACTGTCGAGCTCTTTAGATTTAAACGCTCTCTCTGTCGACGGAATACTCTTCCGCGTACTTCGAACCCTAATGAGGTACCAATTAAAAAAAAAAAAGAATAAATAAAGTCGTAAAATAAGAAATAAGGTTTCCTTATTGCCGTTCTATGTCAGGAGTGCAAGCTGAAAATATTCGTCCACGTAAACAACTTTCGTCAGACATGTGCGTTCATAACACTCAAAGGGTTAAAAAGAAAACATCTTTAAAAGCAGCGACATATGATTACAAAGTGAACGTCTACATTTAGGTCGTCGTCACCGTGCAGTCCGAAATTTCAAAAGTGGTACCTGGCGCTATTCATTTACCGTCATCGGAGACCGTCGACAGATTGGCCATCCTCCGAATATGATGATTCTTCTCACAGAGGAGAGGCTCTTCTCGACCTGAGATCAAGCCTCCCGAGTTAATTTAGCCGGGATTTTGCGGGAGCATTAGCTCGTGTCGCGCTTCGTCGTATTCAAATTCTCCCATTATATCCGGTCGACTTGACCCATTTTCTTCTAGTTCCTCTCTCTCTCTCATTCCTTTTTTCCTCTCTCCATTCATTCGTCCCTGGGCCCTCTTCGTCTCTCGTTCCGTGAAATCCACAAAGAGGCTCACCGGAGCTGTTCCTGAAAGAACCTCTATCGGCCGATGCGACTCCGTTTTAAGCGGGTTCCTGCGTAGGACCTGTTGCCGCGGCTCACGGGCACACCACCGACAGCCAGCCAGAGAGAGAGAATCGGTCGCGGCGAGAGAAAGGGAGGCGAAAGAGCGGAACGCATAATGGGAAGAATGCGTCATAGATAATCGTAGCGCAACCCCCTTGACGACGACGTGCCCCGTGCGTCAGCGACAATGAAAGTAACGACGAGTTGGAATCCCATTCGAACTCTGCCCGATGTTCGTTCGTTTCCGAACGGAAGACTCGATCTTTTCCCTGTTTTTTCTCTTCCTAGATCAGTCACCCTTCCTATCAGGCTTCAGCTGGAATTCTTTTCGAGACGCGATTCTTGACGGAGAAAAGCTTAAAGTTAGTGTTGTGGATTGTTGATCGATTTTCTATCGATCCTATCGTGGATAGATGTATCAATTTCAGAAGGTTCGATGTTTCTGATGCATCTGCAGAAACTGGACAGAGTGTCCGAGTATGGAAAACGTGGAATTGAATTTCAGAAGGTATTCACAATTATGCACGGTCGAGAGCTGTTCCGTTCGATATAATCGACAAGGTCGCCGGTGTCGATAAGATTATTCGAATCGATAAGCGGCGAAGTGCAAGGTCCCCCGATTGACTCAATCTTCCAATCGATCGATGCTCTTCAATCATCCGAACGGACGCGCCCGGTTATCTTGTCCGTGCTTCCGTGGCAGTCGAGAAATGCCGCGGCGCGACGATCGTGGAGAATTCCGGCTAGCGGGACGCGGGCAATAAATCAAAACGTGGAAAGGGTAATCAGAGGAGCATTGTGACGGGTCCACCGGACGAGTACGCGTAATGAAAACCGCAAGAATGACGCGGCGAGCGATCGTCGCTTATTTCCAAACGGGCTCCAGGTAGGACAACGGCGACGATGACTCGGCCCTCGAGAGTGGCCGAATATTGACACCTGCTTAACGAACCCTGCGCGAAATTTATTGCTAATTGTGTTTAGTCGCGTCGCGTCACAGGTAAACGCGTCGTCCGCAAGCGACCGTAAGCGGAGCTTTTGTTTGCGGATCGATCGCCATCAGGGCCCTCCTGCGCGAGTTTAGTACCTGCTTCCGCAACGAGCCAGCCGAATAATAAACCTGTGCGAAAATACCTGCGCTCTTCGACCCGTAGAACCTGTTAGGTTCGAATTGCTACGACTAATTAGCTGACGATCGAGCCCTGGTTTTTCTCGTCTAACCAGCGAAAACGATCGTTTCCTCGCCTTTCGTACAATATCGCTGGATAGATCGTCTACTTGATCTCCGAGATCAGCTGGGGAATCGATTCAATTCCCTTCCAGCATGTGACAATAGTTACTTTAACCGTTTGACTGCGAACTGCGACTTCAAACATCCAATGATATATGTATTAAACATTTTATAGTTGCAAGTTACTTTTTTTAATAAATATTTTTATTAGTAAGCGCAACTGTACAGTGGTACGCCGTACAACAAATCCTCGATGAATGTTCGAAAGCTCCACGGCACTGAACATTAAATATTGTACATTCACTGGCTTCAGAATGCCAAGCTTTATCACTGTGCTAAACCTCGTTAAAAAATCAGCGTTACACCTGTGGACAGTCATCAAGGATTTACTGTATATCGTGGCGGTTGTTTGTACCACTGCGCCACGCGATGTGCACGTTTTGTTTCTGAGTGTTCCGCAGTAAAAGTGTCAGAAATTCTTGTAGAAGTAGTATTAGTTATTAACAATAAGCAACGCACCCCCATAAATGCGCCTGACAACCAAATTTCGTCCTCGAACGATCAATTAACAGTAATAATAGAGATGCTTCTCCGTAAATTTCGCGAAAATTATCGCGTGGAATAGGTGGAGTGAGAGGATCCCGTTGATCATGGCACAAAACGGATTTGCTTGTGCAAAGTGCCGTCAGCGAGGAATAAGTGGATTGATTGGTCGTCATCTAAAAACAAAAAAAAAAACAGGAATAAAAGAAAGTAATGGAAAGACGAGGAGGATCGAGAGCACCGGCACGCGGAGAGTAGACACACGAGAGAGAAACTGTACAATAAGTCGGGGCCCCCGACAATGCCGTGTACCGCGGGCGGTCTTTGTGATTCAAATCAATGTTTGTGATACTCGATGGCACGCCGCTTTTGTGCCCGTCGAGCTTTCGTTTAAGCGGATACGGTATAGTATATATACCTGCGTGTATATATACACGTAAGTACCTATCGAATATACGCGCGACTTCGTTCTATTGGACCATCGTCTCTCTTTTCCTGGTCGTCACTTCGTCTCTCCTTTCATTTTCATGGGGTTCTCTTTTCGTTTGATCGTTCCGTTTACACTAGGCTGGCATTGTACAGCTATTACGCGTGCATAATTGGATTTCGCAGGTACCATCTTTCGAATGGTACCGGCGCCGTCACGGTCTCTCGATCCTACCTTGCTCTTTTCTGGCTGGTGATTTGGAATCAGTCGATTAGAAAATTTTTATACGTCGATCATTATGCACTGTTGGTCTGTGTCCTTTGTAACGATCCTTCCGAG